ATTTTGTTCAAGTAAGGGCACATAGTTTCTACAGAGATCCTTCAAAGTTTGTGTTTTCATAACTGAGCTTTTAAACAGTTGTGATGGTTTGACTCTGTCTAAATGCCAGGTATCTACCAAGTCGCTCTATCACTTCCCCCCCCGCCCCCCCTTTATTCCCTTGTTTTCTCAACAGGGCACAGAGGGGAAAGAAGGTAAACCAACTCTTGTGGGTGAAACAAAAGCAGTTTTAATATAAGCAAAGCGAAGCAAAGGTCCGCGCGTGGAAGCAAAAGCAAACAGATTTATTCTGTCCCTGCCGTGGAGAGGCGCCGTGGGGCCTTCTCAGGAAGCGGGGCTCCCATACGCGGAGTGGTTGCCTCGCAGGACCAAGGGTGACCCCCCCTTCCTCCTTTCTCCCAGCTTTCTACTGAGCAGACGTCACAGGGTCTGGAATGTCCCTTGGGTCGGTTCGGGTCAGCTGTCCTGGCTGTGTCACCTCCCGAGATCTTGCCCACCCCGTCCCAGCGGAGCCCTGGTGCTGGGTAAGCACCACTCAGCAGTAGCCCCCACACCAGGGTGCTGCCAACACCCTGCAGCTCCCAGCACAGACCACAGCACCGTGGGGCTGCTGTAGGGGAAAAGCAATTCCAGCTCAGCCAGACCCAGTACAGGTCGCCTTTGTTTCCTGAGATGGGCTCAGGCGAGATGAGAAGCAGTTCTCAAATGAATCGTCAATTAGGTCGGCCGCATTGCCTTCACCATCGAGTACTTTTCTGAATGTCTCTTGAAGAATGGGCAGTTTTTCTGATGTTATCCACCTTGAAACTGTTCTCTTGTACTGGGTTTTCTTGCCGCCTTCTATGGGGTGTCCATCAGTCTCTCCACTACTTCCAGGTGTTTCATCCAGTCCTGGTTATTGACTTCTACTGCCACTGGAGGATTCTTGTAGAGGTCTCATCTCTTGTTGCTGATTTGTTTTGGTGTTTTGGATGGAATATGTTCTGCAATTAATTTATAGATACCTTTAGTCCCCCTGTAGTGTTGGTCTAATTGTATGAATAGGGCGATTTCTTCCTCTGACCAGCATTTTTTATGCAGACCCCTGGCAGTTTTCTTTTGGACGGGATGCCGTGATACGTTCCTGTTTACGGAGCATGGGGTGGGCAAGGCGTTTGTGCTGTCCTAATCCTATTTTAGTTGTAAAAATTTTATTGCATTCCTCACATGTAAAGCCATTCACTGGCTCCTTATTTACAGCCCCTTTGTATTTGGGGGCATGACATGCTATACTCTGGTGTTTCTCCTTAGATCTACCACACTTATTACATTCAGTTAAGATCTTCCTTTTCCCCTGGGTTCTCTGCAGGTGTTCTATTAATGATGATATCTTATTAAGTGTTGTTTTACAGTATGGGCAAGAATGTTCTTTGGATGGAATTTTTACTACCGGCGTATTGGGTACGGGTGTGCTATTGGGACGCGGAGTAGGTGATTGAGGGTGTGGTTGGACTATGGTCGGTGGTGGTATGGGGTCCCCCTCCCCCTCAGAGACCCTTCTTTTATTGATCCTGGGCCCCGAAGGGGAAGGTTCTTCACACCCCTCTGGTAGCATGGTTAAACTTTGCGGAGGTGGTTGAGCCATGTCCTTTGGTGGTATGGGGTCCCCCTCCACGTCAGCAACCCTTCCTATATTGATCTTGGGCTCTGGAGTGGAAGGTTCTTCATAGCCCTCAGGAAGCAAAGCTAAACCATCATATTGTGCATTGGTGATGTCATTATCATTACATTCATTTTGGTTAACTATTTCAATATTTGCTCAATTTACCATTTCATCTTTTGAATTCATTTGGTTATTTGTATTATTATGTAATTGAGATTCTTGAAAATTGAGTTCTTCAGTTTGGGTGCCTACCGAGACGAAAGGTATTCTATTCGGTCGCACCATATTGTCACAGTCTAGTAAGGGTGGTCAGAGCCAATCAGCTCCCCCTTACAGAGTTGTTAGGCTGTGCCCAACGTAGCCTGTGGGCTTGGCTTTGGGCGATCAATATAATTGACACCTTTAATTTGAACAACCAAATTATACTATCAAGCGGTCGGTGAGGTCACTTGATAGGGCGAGGAAACCAAAATCAAAAAGCGACGTCGCTATGAACGCTTGGCCGCCACAAGCCAGTTATCCCTGTGGTAACTTTTCTGACACCTCCTGCTTAAAACCCAAAAAGCCCGAAGGATCGTGAGGCCCCGCTTTCATGGTCTGTATTCGTACTGAAAGTGAAGATCAAGCGAGCTTTTGCCCTTCTGCTCCGCGGGAGGTTTCCGTCCTCCCTGAGCTCGCCTTAGGACACCTGCGTTACGCTTTGACAGGTGTACCGCCCCAGTCAAACTCTCCACCTGCCGCTGTCCCCGGAGCGGGTCACGCCCGGCACACACCGGGCGCTTGGCGCCAGAAGCGAGAGCCCCCCTCGGGGCTCGCCCCCCTGCCTCACCGGGTAAGTGAAAAAACGATCAGAGTAGTGGTATTTCACCGGCAGCCGGGACGCCAGCGGGCGGGTCGCCCCGCCGCGCAGAGCGCGCGCCCGGCCTCCCACTTATTCTACACCTCTCATGTCTCTTCACAGCGCCAGACTAGAGTCAAGCTCAACAGGGTCTTCTTTCCCCGGTGATTCCGCCAAGCCCGTTGCCTTGGCTGTGGTTTCGCTGGATAGTAGGTAGGGACAGTGGGAATCTCGTTCATCCATTCATGCGCGTCACTAATTAGATGACGAGGCATTTGGCTATTTATCAAACACATCTAAATAGATGTTTCTTTTCCGGGTTAAGTTAAGGTGGCCCGTCCACCTTTGTCAAAATCGGTAGGTTTTGACTCAGTACATGTTTAGGCCAATTGTCAAGATCGAATTTCAATTGGCAGACGCCGCTAGTAATGTCTCGAGATTCCCGTCCTACTATCCAACTTGAGACATGAGTGTGTATTATAA